GAGTGTCGTACAAGAATAATTGATTTCACCTTCCCCATAAAGTCTAGAGAAGCAAACGTTAGAAGCATAGAAGATTCAGTTTAGTCAAGCATTGCAGCCCGTGCGTCATACCTCTGAAATTTGAAAAGCCGTCATACATGTGCGTCAATTAATGTTAGAATTGTGTCGAATATTATTGTACAAGGTAGGTTACAGTTGTACTTGGTTTTAGACTGTGTGTAGACAGGATAGGAGTCGTGTCCTAATAGGACACTTGTATCCTAGGCCTCTCATATATAGCGGGGCTAGACACACGATGTAATCTATGCCAACATAATAGCACGGGCACGCGGGGAAGCCGACGGCGTGTGTCGGCGCCCGGGCGGCCGGGGTGCGGTATTGTGACGGTGTCATGGGGAGGAGCGCCCGTAGTCATGCCCCGGGGATGTAGCCATGATGGTGAACCTCGTTAACAAATCTCGGTGTCGTGCCTCGTGTGATTGCTTGGTCCTCGATAGATCGACGGAGTGCCTCGGATTATTCTAACAAGTGATATCATGAGCAAGGTTTGAAGAGGTCGCGGATTGTTGATCTAGAGGAGGTCGTGGTTGTGGAAAAGGTCGATGACAGGCGGCGCGATTGGGCGGCAGCAGATGTTGCAGGCAGTTTCATCTCGCGGAGAAGTCACGGCCAGTATAGCAACGACGGCACAAATCGAAAGCAGTCGGGAAGCTGCAGGACAGCCGTATCGCAGCAGCAGTTGGTGCCAGTGGAGTTGATCATTCCAGATCGGTCCTGGCGGCGCGTGTGGCAACCCTAGAAGAGAACGGATTACAGCGTTGGCGAGCGTAGATCGAGCGCTTGATCCGGTCGAGCGGGGCGGCAGTCGTACGCGTGGATGCGTGTGACGTGGACAAGTCGAGGCCAAGGCCGCCTGGTTGGCTGGGCCAGCGGCGCTGCAGCTCTGGGCGATGATGCAAGCCTGCGTTGACGGTTTGGTGACTTGTGGTGTTCACGCGTGCGCGTGCGTTGAGCGCAAGGGAGCTGTGTAGTGCTGAATGATACGTGTGCTATGTTATAAGCAAAAGAAGGCACGTGAGATTTGTTGTGAAAAAAAGAAGGAATTGGAGCATGTCCCAAGAATGAGGTGTAGAGAGACGCACGCACATGGCTATGTGATGTTTCGGAAACAAGATGGCATGCAATGCAAGGGCGTGGTGGGTGCATGTTGGTGTACATGCGGAAAACTATGCAGGCTATGTATATGCATGGTGTGGCTGTGTGAAGCAAGCTGGAGCGGACGTGGGCGTGGTCGAATTTGCACATTGACTGGACTCATACCATTGCAGGACCAATGAGTAATCGTGGAGTTGTCAAGGAATCTGGGACAAGTTTCAAGGATGGCGGCGTGCATATAAGGCTCAAAGGCGTCTGGAGCATGCCGTGGTAGGAACATGCATATACAGGGCGTCAAGGCAATGCACGAGATGTGCGGGGCGGACACGACGTAGCGTGGAGCATGGTTGCAGTCGAATAATTTTGGCTGGGTCGGACTGGGTTGTCTGATGGATTGACGTGGATGTTGATCAAAGCAGAAGTCGGAGGTGATTTCAGCGACGACGACATAGGAGCGTGATGCTGATGGTGACCGACTTCTGGGGCGTGGAAACACGTGGTGCATGTCTAAGGGCTTGTGCGGCTTCGACAAGACTATGGCGCAGGGTTGATTCAAGGCGGTGTACACATGAGAGAGATTGAAGTCGACAAGGCGCATGGTAGCGTGGCCAGCTACATAGAGTCATGTTGAAGGTGGAGCTGGAGTCTGATGGACGACTTCACTCTGCTGATGGAGGGGCTGCGGCGTAAATGCATGGAGAGTCGAAGCCTATTTCAGCGGGATAGCGAGAGACACGTGGATCGGACTGGGTACCAATGGTCTGATGGAGACGTGACACTCGGCATCAGTCAGTGATGATCGATGGTTCTCTGCAGTGGGGGTTGAGGCAGTGTGGGCTAACTACCCGGGAGACTCGATCAGGACAGCAGAGGCTCGACGCAGTGATAGCGGCGAGGCGTGCGGTAAGCACGGGACACAGCGACAGGCCAAGGCACCGATGGTCAGATATGTTGTTAGACAAAGTGTGCAGGGGGGGCTGAAGCAGTGTTGACGAGTACCGGATTCAAGTTGGTGACTAGGTCTATCGGTGCCGGTTGATGGACAGGAGTTGACCATGGAGAATCTGAGAAAGTGGCGGAGAGTCTAAAATTGTCAAAAGCTGAGAGAGCACATGGCCGTATATTCTGTGATGTTCGACGCACATGGCAAAGTGCAGATGACAAGTACAGAAGGAGGCGGAGTGCTATAGCTGTGGGACATGCTAGAGACTATCCCAGAAAAAAGGGATGAGACAACTGCGAATTTGACTCAGGATGACACAGGGTGACGGTGAAATTCCTTCAAGTTTCAGACAGATAGTCAATGAGAGCGATGACGTTGAGTTCGGATAACTCTTATATGTGGCATCCAATATGTGAGTTGTTCATTTTCACGCAGACAGTGATCGGTGTGTGATGACGTTGGACGGATACTCCGGAAGTTGGGAGCACAAGGTAGAGTAACGAAGAACTTAATTTTGCTCGAGAGTTGACTGCTAAGAAGATGAGAAGGGACTACAGTTGCAGGTGGAGTCACATGGAGTCTGGGAGTAGCAGCGGTGCTCATGGCGTATCTCAAGTCCAATGTACATGAAGCTTCGACGCATGGATGAATCCAAGGTGGTGGAGAATATTCGCCAAGGTGAAATTTGTTAGAATTGTGTCGAATATTATTGTACAAGGTAGGTTACAGTTGGACTTGATTTTGGACTATGTGTAGACAGGATAGGAGTCGTGTCCTAATAGGACACTTGTATCCTAGGCCTCTCATATATAGCAGGGCTAGACACACGATGTAACCTATGCCAACATAATAGCACAGGCACGCGGGGAAGCCGGCGGCGTGTGCCGGCGCCCCGGCGGCCGGGGTGCGGTATTGTGACAGTGTCATGGGGAGGAGCGTCCGTAGTCATGTCCCGGGATGTAGCCATGATGGTGAACCTCGTTAACAAATCTCGGTGTCGTGCCTCGTGTGATTGCTTGGTCCTCGATAGATCGACGGAGTGCCTCGGATTATTCTAACAGTTAACTCCTCAATCTGCTTCATGATTCACCAAGTCCTCCATGAGCACCTGGTCATCCAGTAGTCACCTCATCATCCAGTCAACCCCGGTGGATGTCTCGCCCACCGCCTCCCATGTCTCGCCCGTCAGCTTTCCTGAGACAACTACAGTGCCGCACCGCTGGCCGCTGTCGTATCGCACGCGCCATCAGGTCTTCGTGCCCACAGCAATCCGTAGTGTTGTGCAGATGCATCAGTCACGCCAGATGCACGAGCTCCACCGTGTGCAGAGAGAGACATCGTGAACGTCGCTCTGGCGACTGCCGAGTGCCCGAGCCGCCAATCCGCCATCGCGTCAGATGGGCAAGCGCCGCCACGAGTGCTGGCCGACTCTGCCACTGCCACGTCGTCACCCACACTGGGCGGTGGAGAAGTACGTTATGATGGGCAAGGAGGATGTCATGCCACCAAGACCTGGCCGCCGCTAGTCATTGTTGTCGCCGTTCTCGTAGCCCCACTGCGGCTCCTGGGGCTTGTGCAGGCCCCCGCCTCCTCACCTCAATGTTACTCTGTGACTCGGCAGGGACTACAGGCTACCCTATATTCATAGGCGCCAGCGGCCTCACATGTGTACATCAGGCATAATTGACTTCTTAAGGCACGTAATCATCGCCGTTCATGGTAGATGTATAAACTGATGAGATACTATAGTATGTACCTCAGACCGGGAGAAATTCCGGCGGGCGGTGGAGCACGTGCAGACGGATCTCCGGCGAAATCGACGGCGTACAGGAACGGCGATGTGGGAAACTTGTAACACGGCGACATCGGGCAAGAAACTTTCGATGCGATCTAATCCTGGTCGAGGGGTTCCTTCTTATATCATCAATTTCGGTGTACCGGACGGCTCCGTGCTCCTGAACATCTCCTCCTCGGACACAACTCCAAGACGCACGCAACATGGACTCTTCTCCGAGTCTGAGTTCGAGATGTGTGGGGAGCTCGATGACGTTGGGAGAGGCGAGGTTGGGGAGAGACGACGTTGGTCTACATCCCTGCGACAGAGATTGCTACGGCGGGCGGGGAAGGCTGCGGCGGCGGGCGGCGGCAGCGACGTCGGACACACAGAGAAGAAGAAAGAGCAGACCGAGCCAGAGAAGAAGAAAGAGATCGAGCCGGCTGTGCTTTCTTTTCTTAAGGCCCAACAATGGTCAGTTCACGGGAGGCACAAAAACCGTACTAAACATGGCCTGGCCCAATAGATATTCCAGGAGCCCAATAACGAACATAGCGCGGCCGAATAATATTTCGAACGAAAAATTTAGTACCACCTCGGTTATAACATAACAATAATAATATGGGTGAACGGATTAAAAATTTGGTGAAACGCATCTTGCTTTATTATATATAGTGTATATATATATATAGATAGATAGGTATAGATATAGATATAGATATATATTATAATTATGTAATGAATGAATTTCACCTATATTTTGTTGTCTTATACTGTAACGCATAATGGCCATTTTAACCTTTTTATTAGCGGGGGGCATAGCACATGCAGCCGGAGCCAAAAATCCGAGTAATAATAAGTCCCCTCGTTAAACTGACTGCGATCTTACCATCTGCGTAAAAGAAGACCTCGTTGAACTAGCGTCGCTTTCCCAGGTTCCACATCTCGTGAACTCGCCGACCGGCCATCCCCGCACACCTTTGCCGTCGCCACCTGCTGCTCCCATCCCTCTGCAGCTTGGAACAGCCCAGGCCTGCGCCGCGCTCCTCCGGAGCCGGACGAATCGAGCCGCTGCGCCGGTTGGAGCCACCGGGCCGTTGGAGCCTCCCGGCTGATGCGGCGGCGGCAATGGGACTATGGGAGTTCATCCTGCGCGGCGGCGGCCGGCGGTTCATCAAGCGCAAGGGCAGCGACGCCGGCGAGGCTGGTCAGTGCCCCCTCCCCCGGCCTTCTTTTCTGCTCTTGCTCTCTCGTTGCTCGCTGTGCGCCTTTTGGGGAGATGAGATCAGAGAGGGAAGGTTGTTAGCAGCAATGTGGTTTCTTGGGTTACTTCAACTCCACTACTCTTTCGAGCAGTTATAAAGATTTGAGTTTTTGGTGCGCGGAGGCAATCCACTGTTCTGCATCTTTACAGCCTGTCTATTTTTTAAGCTTCTTCATTGGTATAAATGGCATGAAAATTGCATCTTTTCCACATTGAATTACTTGTACATGTGGCAAAACTGCTTTCTTCAAAATTGTATTGCCCTAGTTTTGTTAAGCTTGCCGAGGTTGTACCAGCGAATCCTACAAAGTACAAACAATATAGGAATCCGGCCATTTCCAGTTGGTCAGTCTCATTTTGGCAGATAGCAAACTGACATTTTTTTCCGGTTATCTGCTCACCAGGTGCTGATTTACTTTTTAATAGGAAATGTACAAACAAAATTAACCAATGTAGACTTCATTAGACTCTAACAGGCTCTTCAGTTCGTGTGGGTATGATGTGGATAGGACGAAGCAACAGCATGCTTACGGCCTTCTGCCCAGTTGGTTCATTCTCTTGCTCTTGTGGGATAAATTGCAATATTGTTCCTACTCCCTGATCCCCAAATCAGTGAGTATGCTTCTGTGCACCCTCTCTCATGAAGTGATGGGACTGTTTCCAGCGACTGCAAATCGATGGCAGCCTTGGCATGTGAGTTGTGGTGATTTATGCCCTGAATGGTGCTTTCGTCTTGTGGGTGTTTGGATTCCATGGCAAGGACACTAGCTTAGTACGATTGTGCACACTTTTGTTTATCTCCTTTTTTGTGTTATTTCTAGTTATGTATAATGCACATGGCAAATCAGTTAGTTCAGCTCCTTTCTGAACTTTGAGTTTGGTCAGCTCTTCATTGGCCACCTGTAGTAAAAGTTGAATTCTTGGTTGGCATGAAGAGTGTTGAACCTGAAAAGTAATGTTCAGTTGTGCGCATTATCTACTGAAAGAAGTCATTCTTAGTGGAGGCAAACTAGCTGTGATGCCACTTGCCATGTTTGATAGTGCTATGTCCCCTATTGCCCTAGTTGTCATGATTTTATTTTTAGTGAAAAAACTGCATTTGAAAGTATGCTTTAGTGGCATTAAATAAATGGTAATCTGCATCACTTTGTGATTGACCAAAACTGAGCTTTCCACTCTTGGTTACACTTTTATGGCCTCCCAGGCAGGGCAATGGAGGAGCTGAGAGGTTCTCTCTACAATGAATTTCATACTTCGGAAGGGGCTAAGCGACAGCAGCAGAGGTTTTGTGGCCCGGGTGTCGCGCTAACATTCAACTTTGTGGTTTCTGTTGGGATCATCATGGCAAACAAAATGGTGTGTGTTGTCTTTTCACTTTTCTTACACTTCATGGCATCTCTTATTTAGTTTTCTTTCAGTTATTTTCTGCTAGTCTTTGCATTTAGTTTTTAGATGACATGTTTTATTTTGCAGGTGATGGGTAGTGTTGGGTTTAACTTCCCAGTTGCACTGTCTCTAATTCATTACATAGCTGCCTGGGTCCTCATGGCTGTCCTGAGGGCATTATATTTGATGCCCATTGCTCCTCCTTCAAAATCCACTCCTTTCTCCTCATTATTCGCTTTGGGTGCTGTGATGTCTTTTTCCACCGGACTTGCTAATATCAGCTTAAAGCATAATAGGTGAGATCAATAATGAAGTCTCCCTGTTCAACAGATGCAAAAATTCTACCTTAATGTTGTGGCCACCGTTTTGTTTTCATAGTGTGCTCACTGTTCTCTATCTTCAGTGTAGGGTTTTATCAAATGGCTAAGATAGCTGTAACTCCAACCATAGTTGCAGCAGAATCTATTCTTCTCAGAAAAGGTGTTTCCTTTCGAAAGGTAAATTTATCACAAAATTAAGCTTCATATACTGTTCAATTGTTTAGTTGATCTAATTGGTAAGAATATTATATATTTTTGTATTACAGGTCATCACACTAGTTATAGTGTCATTTGGTGTGGCTGTAGCAACTGTTACTGATTTGGAGTTCAACATTTTTGGTGCTTGTGTGGCAGTAGCTTGGATCATTCCTAGTGCTATAAACAAGATCCTGTGGTCAAATCTGCAACAGAGTGGAAACTGGACTGCTCTTGCGTAAGTTGTGATTTATGTCTCTTCTAAGATAGGCTCATAGTTCATATATTTTCTCCTAACATTCAGGTTATTGATCAGGTTGATGTGGAAGACAACCCCAATTACAATATTTTTCTTTCTTGTCCTGATGCCTTTGATGGATCCTCCAGGATTGTTGTCTTTCAACTGGAATTTCAAGAACAACTGTGCAATTATGATATCTGCTTTGCTTGGTTTTCTTCTTCAGTGGTCCGGTGCTTTGGCACTTGGGTGAGGCATACTATTTCTAGTTTTCTCTTGCATGATTATCCTTCTATTCCGTCAATGTGCATGTTTCTCCTGAAACAAAAGCATGTATTTGTGTGCCCAAGTTTGTTAGTACTAGATTATGTTTTAGGCTTCATGACTTCCTTCACATGATCTTTTGTAACTAGGGAATATCTCATATTTGAAATAAAAATAAAAATAAAGAAGTGTTCGTATGCATGCCATATCCACATGCTTAAGCATTTTGATAAAAGAAAGCACCTCTTTGCTCGTAGAAGTGCACTTATGAGCTGACTCAAACATTGATATGCAATCTACCTTTAGTTGTTCTATACTTCTACTTGCACCTATAATGTATAACCACACTGTTGCTGGTATGCACTATTTTGAGAATAACATACCTTTTTCACCATTATGCTGATAAATGACAAGATAAAGTTTCCAAAACAATAGAAAGCCTGCCCACTATCCATTACTTTGTTCCTCCTCGAAGCATAGCATTCACCTGTCTTGTGTATTCATGCTTCTTATTCATACATTCTTCCTATTCTGTCATTCTCTCTCTTTGTGGAACCTGTGAAAGTCAACTGATGTTTGCGCTGGTATTTGCACGATGCAGTGCAACCTCGGCTCTATCTCATGTTGTGCTAGGCCAATTCAAGACTATTGTCATAATGCTCTCTGGGTTTCTGGTATTTAAATCTGATCCTGGACTCACCAGTCTTTATGGAGCTGTCATTGCACTAGGAGGCATGTCAGTCTACACTTACCTAGGGCTAAAAGAGTCAACCACTGGCGGTAAGAGAATTCCATCAGCGTCTAGGCAGAGTTCTCTCTCACTGAAGTCCAAGGTTATAATAGACGAAGAAAAGCCAGAAACAAGACCAGTGGACTCTGTCTAAGTTGAAGAATTGCCATTTGGACTGCATTTGTTGAGTTCCATGCACCAACTTCACCTGAGTTTAACCTTATTGAGGGAAGACGGTCAATCTGTATGCAAGTAGCATTCTTAAGAGCATGCTCCCTTTCCCCCTCTTGTTCTTCCTAGAATGCTATGATTCTGTTTTAGGAAATTTTAGTAAGCTGTTGTTCTCCGTTCACCATACTCTTAACATAGAAATAGCTGTCATTCTCCAGTGTTACCAATTTTGGTCAACATGTGTATTTTTTGGTTGTGCCATTTACCTTGTGGATTTTTGCAATTTCAGAAAATATATGATATGCTGCTAACAGTAGTTCTTGTTGGACTTCTTGTAGGCTTTACACTAACTATTGTTCTTAGCAGTTGTTATGCAGTACTTTTACACACCAAATTGTTGGTGTTTGCGGTGTTGCTCTTTGGGTGTGTTGCGGGGAGGGGGGTATTTTTGGAGAAAAAATAGCTACCACAACATTATTCTCGAGGGGGAAAAAGTTGGAATGCCCACTGTGAATGGAATGCTAATATGAGATTATACATAAATGATGTGTTCTTTCCTCCTGCTATAATGGATACCAGCAAAAAACTGAACAACTAACACCTGAAGCCTAGCCAGACCAACCATTTCAATTGTACCTGTATGACAAGAGCTCTTTTGGTTACAAGACCTGAGCAAATGGGACAAATCAATTTTTAAATAGGAACTGAAACGACGCATGGTCAAGGAGAAGCACATCCGAGGGGGTATTTAATAAAAAACTACCACATTTTGATCGACCGTGGCAAAAAAAACTACCACTCTACAAACTTTGGCCAAAAACTATCACTTTGAGACTAAATTTTGGCAACTTCCAGATCCTTTGAGTACCTTCAGGCAACTTTTGTAAGCTTGGTACCCACAAATGAACTGATATTGAAAGAGCAAACCTTCCTTGCACTTGATTTTCTTTAGGCTTCGTTTGGCAAGGGAGGTTTTTCTGCCCCGAGGGGGTCGAGGATTGCACGTGATTTGATGATCCTCTCCCCTTCACCCAATCCCCCTTCCTAATCTCCTGTGTTTGATTAAAATCGCTAGATATCAGCATCTCACCTAATCTCTGCGTCGTCCGGTTCCCCGCGTAGGCCCTCGAGAGTGCTGTTCCGCGTGGAACGAAGGGGGTTGCTGGGGATCAGAGGGTTTGGGCTAGTCAAAACCCTGTGCATCAAATGGCCTTGCGGGGATTTCTGAGGATTAGCAGGCCCGCAGGGTTAATCCCCTACAAACCCTCGCAACCTACCTCTACCAAATGAGGCCTTAAGGGCATCTCCAAGGCAGATTCGCAAACCGCGCGCATCCGTCCACGGGTCTGTATCGACACGCGGGATGGTCCGGACGCGATTTCTCCCGTAAATTGGGGACAGAGTGGGGGGAGGTTTACGGGAGTCCGGACACCCGAAACGTAGGACTCCGATACCCCCAGCCCACCCAATCGCACCTCTCGGTCCCATTTTTTTCACTCCGCCCCTTTTCCCCTTGCTTTGCATCCGCACCCTCCACCTCCGCCCGCCGTTGTTGTACGTCTCCAGCAAGTGCATGAAAATTTTCACGCACAAAAGTACATTGCACCCTACGACATGTACATCATTCAACCACGTAATGTGAAGTCGTTGTGTATCGCTGGCACGCTATTCAGATCAGCGTCACCAAGTTTTGTGACGTGGTTCGTCAGCTGGAGGCAAGGTGGTCATCGCACGCAGCACATGACGACATCGTAAGTTTTGCTTTCTCTTGCTCAACTTGTTGATTGATTCGTTCACTCAATGTTGGTCTACACATTATGTAACCCGCACGCGCAGCCGTAGTGTAACACATGACAGATGGACGATCATTTACGTACACACACTATTGGATAAAGTTGAAGGGGGAATATGTGTGTGGGGGCATGATCCGTTGATGAAAACTTGTTGGACATCCGGTTAATCTAGTCGAATTTGAGACATTGTTGTACTAGACTTTTTTTGCATGCTTGTATGGATGATTTGTCCTATCCAAACTTTGATGAATATAGCCCGGTTTGCATGAATTTCTTCCAGTTAGTTCAAATGCGGGTTGAAATGTATGTGGGCAGCGTTGAAATGGCTTCCCACATTTGTGTCCATGGACCGTCCTGTCTGTGGACAAATGCAGGAGTAGGCCCTTAGAAATATTTGTAAAGTTTGTCATAAATAAGTTTGATGACAAACCTCCCCAACTATACGTGTACTACGATAGGAACGAGATCCTCTGACTTACAAACAACCTACTGCAGAGGGACGTTGTTGCATTTCGTCCGTTGCCTGCGCATCTGACGACAGCAGCTGGATTGCGTGGAAACGCAGGGCAGGAGTCGACCCAAAAGCATGATACAACCCATTACTCCGGCGCTCCAACAAAATTTAATAGAATTGTTGCCAAGAACTAGGGCAATCTTAAACGGCGCCTTCAGCGCCCGTAATAGCACTTCGCGCAATTGGGCGCACACCCCCCCTCCACGCGATGGGCCAGCCCATTTTAAATTGGGATGAAAACCACCCCACCCACTTCACCTTCTATGCTCACGGACATGTTCTTTCCCCTTTTGTTCTCTCTTATTTTTTCCTATTCTTTCTTTGCTTTTCTTTTTTCCTTTTTCTTTCTAAATCGATGAAAACAGTTCATTGGATTTTATGAACATATATTATTCAAACTCGATGAACTTTTTTCAATTTCAATGAACTTTTTTCGAATTTGATGAACTTTTATGAAAATTGATGAACTTTTAATTTCTATGAACACTTTTCTAATTCTATGAACATTCTTCAGAATAGGTGAACTTTTTTTCAAGTTTAGTGAACCTTTTTCAAATTCAAGGAACTTTTTTTTCAAATTAAGTGAACTATTTTCTAAATTGGATGAAATTTTTTCAAAATTGATGAATTTTCAAATTCAGTGAACTATTTTTCAAATTGGATGATTTTTAAAAAAATCGATGAACTTTTTTTGCAAATTCGATGAACTTTTTTTCAAATTCATGAACTGTGTTTGAAGATTATGTTTTTCTGGAAAATGGATGAAATTTCTCAAAACTGATGAAGTTTTTTCGAAATCAATGAAATTTTTTCAAATTTGTGAACTTCTTTAAAAAATCATTTTTTTTCAATATCGATGAACGTGTTTCAAAATCGATGAACTTTTTCTAATTTTTGAACCATTTTTATTACATGAACTTGTTTGAGTTCATGATTTTTTTGAAATATGTGAACTTTCAAATTTTGTTCATCTTTTTTTCTCTAGAAATCATCCTTTTCTATCTATGAGCAATAAACAGCGCGGCTACCTTATTTTCAAACATTTCACGCCAAAATCTTCACTAGCGCCTACTTGCTCTAGTGGTTCAGGCAACCTGCAGTCCTGCACTGTAGGTAAACGTGGCGTGGGCCAGCCCACCAGGTGCGGCTAGTTAGCGCCAGTTTCTAAACGGGCGCGTAAGGCTTTATACAATGCAAGGTTTTTAGAGAAATAATTCAGGCTTTTTTTAAGCACCGGTGCTTATTTATACAAGGTAGATGCTAAATTAGGCGTCTTTTATGTAAAAATAGGCATAAGTGTTTTAATAAAATCCAATTTATTTTTTTAAGCATCTCTCTAAACATCTAACATTGTATAGGACCTAAAACACCGTATAGGAGCTCTCAAGAACTAGACAGGGAAAGCTTTTGATCAAACTAATGACGTCAGGTTGATCAATCGCAATTCACGTCAAAGGAAATCCAAGACAGCTAAAAAAAATCGGAAGATGGTAAGAGAGAGACAGAGACTTACGTACAAGATCTTTTTTCGAAAAGGAATGGATCTCTATTTTAATGGAGCAGTTGGTAGTTTCGTTTCTAGGTTTTTTCGTTCCACTTTCCATGGTTTTTTTGGTATCTCCTCCCATCTTCGTTGGTTTTTTTCGTAAATTTTTTTCGTCCCCTTCCCACTTTATGGTTTATTTTTGCGTCACCCTCTCACACAATAAAAGAAATCTGAGCAAATCAAAATTTTCTATACTGACGCAAGTTATTTAGTAATGTAGAATCAATCACAAACAATCTCTAAAGATCAAATCTAAATTAATTAACCTTACCTTAAATCACTCAATCACATTAATTAAAAAAACAAATATTTGATTTTCAGAAAAATCGCTCAATCAAATTAACCTTACCTTAACTCACATATGGTAATCAATCTTCAAACAAAGGAAACAATACATCGAGGGAGCAGTAAATAAACTCCATTTCTTATGACATGTATATGATCTTCCCTTCCCTTTCCGTTGTCGAGCGTTCTTGATTCTTGAGGCCGATGCTTGGGCTGCGTCACTGGGTCGCGACGGTGCCGGAGGATGAGGACGGCGAGGCCGGGTGCCGCGGCACCGCGTTGGCCGTGGCCGGTGAAGGGGGCGAACAAGGGAGACTTCCCTGGCCCTGGCCGTGGCCGTAGCCCTGGGAGTTGGTGCGGTGGAAGCGACACTTGAAGGACCCGACGTGGGTGGCCGGCGCGCAGGCGCACTTGGAAGCGGGTCCGTGGCCTGCGCCGGACGGCACCGACGCCGACCCGGGCCACCTCCTCCGCGTATTCTTGAAGTTGTGGCTGGCCAATTTACATGAAATTAATTCCCTCAGTTGTGGTGGCAAATATAATACACATAATTCATATTGTTATGCACTAGCGTGTGTGTTTGTGAAATAGAAGGATTATGGTCCCGTACCCAATAAGATGGATATGTGTGTGTGTGTATTAGAGAGAGAGAAGGAGAGGGGGAGAGAGAGTGAGGAAGAGGGAGGGAAAGAGTGTGTGTGTGAGGATTTGATAGTAAAAAAGGTCATCAATGTCACTTGATATGTATGAGAATATTAATATTGAACTCTTAAAGTTAATGTGGCCCTGTTGCAATGCACAGCCGTTCTTCTAGTCTATTCTAAAAATTCAGCGGAAGTACAAAG